CGTACAAATCTATACATATGTGCATTAATAAATGGATCACACTACCTACGACTAAAGAGCAGCCTCCTCTGAGGTGGAACTATGCAGTTTTCAAAGGGCACAATACAAAACTTATCTTCTATCACTTACACTGTTTTTATACTTTCAAAGCATTTCACAAATATTAATTAGCTCTAAATAAATTCTAATTATTTCTAAGAGTGGCCCTAGCAGATCTGTATCATCTGGTGTGTTGACTTCAGTGAAGTCAACAGCAACAGCTCCTCAGACCTCAGCAGAGCTGACATTTCACTCACCATTGCTAAAATGCTGGGAGTCATGTATATTATCTAGCAAGTATCACAAGCGAAGCTGAACTAGTAATAGCAGTAGTAACAAATTAGGTTAAGGAACGCTGGTTGACAATAAAAGGAGAAGGGTTAAATGACCTGGGCCAATCTGCATAGCCTAAATGTGGGAAAAGCTTTACCACAGTTTGGGAAATGCAGTAATCGGGCTCTGTTTGGTTTCAACATCAGCCGAAAGGGAAGGCGCTCACCTGCTGCTAAAACCAATTAATATACTTAGGGTACTGGGGTTAACTCCTAACGTCTGCTCATGCCACAGGTCACTTAGTTAACAACCCACTTTGAAACATCAACTCTTTATAAAGAGATCTGCATTATACATCTATAGAAATATTGCATATTATGTATATAAAAAATACGTATGAAGAGGTTTGCATAAAAATCAAAATACTTAAATTCCAAACAACACACAGTGAATTGATAATCACGTATGTAGCAAATAAGTAGGTTATGAGTATTTTTCTTGCTAATCGTAGACAATACAGTCCATCACATACTGCCAACTTATTTTTCTCATATGAAAAAAATGCTTTGGTTCTAAATAATAATATTAACTATTTTATACACCATGCAATTGTATCTAGGTATGGAGGTTAAAAATAAGCTGGAACCATAGATTATGAATCTTTTTCTCAAATAGAAATGTAATCCTAATAGAAGTTCTTCCCTTTTTCTCTGCCAACTTTACCACCACACAATATGCCACAGAGAAAAAAGGGGAAGTGTCAACTTGTGTAAATTGTCCCTTATGTAATGCAAACCATCTGTTTAAAAAACAAAACAAAATGAAAAACCAAGCCACTCCCAAGCATGATCTGCTATGGAGAAAAAGAAAGAAAAGGAAATTTACTACATTGAATTGGAAGCCAAAGACCATGACCTGCCATGTAACCATGGAGAAAATATTTACCCCTCTCCTCCCTCTATTTACCCAATTTTGCAAAATATTTGGAGAAGTATAAGTGAGTAATTTGCTCTGCACGTACTAGAGATTGATATTGTTGTACTCTTTTGAGCATTTCAGCTGTCTAGAATGTTTCCCATCAGGTAGGAACCCAAGCAGAGAAACCTCTTTGTTTTCAGTAACAGACAGAATAGCTCTCACGCAGTGATGACACCACTGGGTCAGAAGGTCCCCGAGTCCTCAACCACTGGAACCTGGCAAAGTATAGGGGGATAAAGTATCAGCATACTCTTTTCCTGGTCTTATACTCTTCTTTAGGTATCTGCCATGAGAGGAATCTGGACCCCTGCTATGAACTGTTACGACTATTTTTGTGTTATCTTCAGTCAAATCCTCAGAAAAGGAGGTATGTGTAGAGAAATCAGCACTCTTCCTTTCCACAGTCTCTCTCTGGATAAGTCATTAGTCCGTTGGGAACCACTGGCTGAGGAATCGTACCACATACACTCTCTGAAACCACTGGGAGACATACATTTGACCCTCTGTTGCTCTAACGTGGACAGGTGAATCAGAAAGCAATGAATAAGTTAGTTTGGTTTCATTCTCTAAGCTGAATGAAAGAAAAATACCAGTATAACTAGGTATTAATCATTTCTTCTCTTTCACTGACCTCGAGGCTTGATCACACATTCTCCTCCAGCTGCAGCTGTGCTGGCTGAAGAGGCCACTATCTCCAATCACAGCCCCCTGCCAAAGGTTACCACTGTGACCAAGCTGCTTGTTTAATCACTTCCCAACATGTTTCCATTAAAATGAGCCAGCTCAGTTTAAGCAATTTTAACAGAAAGTCCTTGCTATCCCAGCCTGGACAGAAGCAAGTTAGGGAGTGCTTAACGAAGAAGCTTGGCCAGTATGTCAGAAGTTAGAGGCACAGTGATGAGCAACTGGAGGCTCTTCAGCTACCTGGCCTGCAGACAGAAGGTGGCAAGTAACCCAGCCATGAGGTGTGACCAACAGCACAACTGACTAGAGACGCGCAGTGCCTTACATGACACGCTGCTGAATTTGAGATACTCTTTTGGAGATCTGACTTTTCAAAGGGGCAGGGCACACAACAGTATAAATGTCCCTCTGAAGGTGTCCCCAACCGGATATCCATAATCAAGGTACTCAGCATCATTAGCTAGTTATGAAAATATTGTTTGTCACAACAATTCCCTCTTCCTTCTCCCCCAAATTTTCAAATCTCCCTTTTATTGAGAAACAGTATATGAAAATTTTCATAGTTCTTCATTATTTGTGACTGGAACTTAATTGTCCCATGGAGATTTTTATTGTTCCTATGTGCAGGTTGTTAATGCTAGTAAATAATAGAATCATCAGTAGAGAATTCCTGTCAATCAGCCACACAAAATAATTCTGAACATCTATCTGTCCAGAAAAAAGGGCAGGTTTTCCAAAAGGACCAGGAACATATAGAAGTGAGGTTACATTACCATAAGGTACATAAGCTAAATTTAAAACATACGATGGCAGTGAGGTAAAGATGCTGGTAGTGGGATCTTCAGAAGTTCATAGGAAGGCCTTGCATCCAAAAGCAAACTCAGTGAAAGTTAAGCATTTAACATGCTGAGAAAAATTAATCTGCTGTACTTTCTCTGTTGCAGTGCTATACTGGTACCCACTTTAGCTCAGTTCAAGCTAGTATAGGTGACTATTTGTACTAAAGTTTACAGTACAAACATTTGCTATATATCCCTGAGACTTAGATCCTGGTGCCTTTGTCACTCTTCAAACGAAGATTTAGTCTTCTACATCGCTCATGTGCTTTAGAAAATTTTATCCAAAGCTCTTTGGTTTACAATCTACCACATCTTTGCCAAGAGGACTGATACACAGAAGGGCAAGCAGGAAAGTGGGAGAAGTATGTTTTAATGGTCTGTCAAAAACATTACTTGATGTGAACATGTTATAGTTTTAAGGCAGCTACGTTTTTCATTGCTACAAGCTTTCTAGGTGTAGCTAAATCCATATATACTTTTTTGTTTACACTAAACTGTGAGTAAAAAGAAAAAAATCCTTTGGACTACTTATCATTTTTCCTCAGCTTCTCAGTCAAATTCAGTCAAACATGCCAGGGAATCACCAAACACAGAGCTGTCTTTTTCCACTGGCTTCTGCTCAGTCCTAGACCTTGGCATGCTGTTAATTCCAAGCCTTACTGCAAGAGCAGCAGCAACTTTGCTCTTTTTTCTTTTTCATTTTCAAGGTTACACAAACATGCAATGTCATATGTACTTCATGGATGTGAGGAACTATAGGACTGTCTTACAGTTAATGTACATGCAGTAAAAAGAAGGAAAAAAACCAACCTCAACTCTTTCTAGCCAAACCAGACTTCATTAACATCAAACTAATTTAATCTGCCAGATACATCTAACGGGGTGCTTTCCTGACCTTTTCCAGGCCTACAGTTATGGTAGCATTCATATTCAGTGTGGCTTTCAGTTAAACATTCTGTAATGTGAATCACTACTTCTCCCATTTGAGGGAGACTGAGTGTGAAATCACTGGAAGAACTGAATGAGCCTATGCTTTGGCACTGCAGCTGCTGAGGGACGTGAAGTGTTTTGAACAGTAATTTTCAGTAGTGGTCCCAGTCTGCAAAATATTAGGAAAAGGGATTAGTGGCCAAAGAAACTCAAGTTTGCATTCAAGTACTGTATCTACAATATTACAGAAACTGAAAGAAATCTGAAATTGCGGGCTAAGCCAGTTTAACTAAAGGAATCTTTATGTTCTAGTTTTATGAAACTGCTGCAGTGGGAAGTCCTGAGTAACTCAAAACAACTGATGAATTCATGAGTTAGTCAATGATACAGATGGATACACTGACATGGATATAATAAAGCTAGACACGCATGCTAGAGACAGAGAACGGTAGAACAAGCAAGTCCTAGATAACTCAGTAGGAAACTGATGTTAGAAGACTTATACAAGCACAAAGGCATGAAAACAAGCCTATGAAATTCATGCTTTAGCTAAGTCTATTCATGGAAATGGGGTTCCTCAATTATTCTTTAACTTGTATTTATCATCAGCCTGTTGACAGGAACATGAAATCCTATAGAAGGCTTAAATAAAATTTCCAAAAAAATCTGGGGAGTACAGAGGACAATACAAATCTTTCAAAGATTAAAAATGTAGATGCTATATTTTTTAGTGTTAGGCTCTCATAAATATACTCATAGTTTGTGTTAGTCCATCAAACTGAAAGGCATATGCTATCTTTGATCTCTGCACAGAACCCCCGTTGAGATTAATGTGAGTTCTGTGTGAAGAAAGAGACTAGAATAGGCCCTCAGTTCACAAATAGTAAGCAGGCTGCTTCAGGAAAAAAACATATTTTCTTACAACAGTGTTGAAATTTATTGGGAAATTTCAAATAGCTTCTCTTCAGATGTATGTATGTACGTGTGGTCATGAGCACGTTCACTTGTCAAAAAGATCTGTCAGAAAGAAGGTGCACAAATCTACTTGTCATGTGAAATGTTTTGCCGTTACGTTGAAACACATACTTCATCTCTGACAATCTTTTCTCATACGATACCGACTAATTCGCTATTTTACACTCATCTGTGCAAGTTAATGGCTTTGTCCATCTGGCGAGAGAGGTGATACTTTTATACAGATTGGCATGAAATTGTGCCCTATACCCACTCCCAGCTAAAAAAATCTACAGGACTTACTGCATCCCGCTTTGTAGCTGAAACCAGGAGGAAGAAGGAATCCTTGTTGTGCAGCTGCTGCTAGGGTTCGCTGGTCTGGAGGGAATACGGGAATCATTAATGGAGGCAGCTGACCCTGGACCTGCTGAACAGGAGAGGGAAAATCAAACGTGGAATTTTTTCTGGGGAAAATGTCTGCTTACACGCTTTCTCTTACTTCTGATCTGAGAGGTCAGGTTTGAATATACTTCTCCATAATGGGGTGTTCCAGTAGCATCAACTATTCAGCCTCATCTTAATTACCAAAGCACTTCGTATGAATTACATTAATCCAAAATAAATTGAAAGATTCCACTAATGCACGCCTATATCCCAATTAATTATACCCCCCCAGTCCATAATGCCTCACTTCTCTTTGACTGCAGGGTGGGTTTTTCTTCTCTTTTATTGCACTGTGTATCAATATCTCTGTCTCAGACAGTGGCTTTCACCCTGACTGAGCCCAAACACAAAGATACACGCACACAGAAGTACAAATACGTGCCTAAGTACCGTACAGCACAGTCAGTACTATTTTTCTGCCCATATACATGCACTTATTTGTACACGTGAAAAGATAAAGTCTCTGAGATGGTAAGAAAAAAGGCTGAGACACTTTATTCACAAATAAAACACAGCTATGTCTGAAGCGTTAGCTGTTCAATTTTGCACAGCAACTGTACACAACCATGCAAGTCAGGAAATGGAAAATATTACATTGTAAGTCGATACTGCAGGGGACTTAAGACATGCAGAAATTAGTCATCAAAACTGGAAGTTGGCCATGGCACAATGTCCAATACTATTGCTTTTACCCAGGTCTGTCAGAGTTTTTAATTGCTAGAAATGGACATCGTCTTTGTATTTCACACAGATGAGAAACAAAAAGTTTGCTAGATTAAAATGTTAAATGGCTGGATTTAATTAAAAACCCCCACCGTACTGACCAGATCAGTCAGTAAAGGAAGACTGACTCATTTTTTAAGAGAGGTCATCTAGATTTTTAATGGCACTGTAAAGCTTAAGGCATTGGAGGTACAGATACATTATCAAAGACTAAAATTTAGTTTGTGGTCTGTAGCCTTAAGAAACAAGGAGAATTAGGGTGTTGATAGACAACCTTTTTTGGCCAGAGGCGTAAGAAGGTGTTACTCCCTTCATTATGGCCTGCAAAGCAGACCTGGCAAAAGAGAACCTGTGCCAGGTCCTTGGTTGCCACAGTTCAGACTACAGCATCTTGACTTAGTTTTATTTTCATTTAATCTCCTGAAGATCCAGGAGATGTCTCGGTTCACCCAACACTGTTACAAAGCAGAAGAGTGATATGAAATTTGGGAAGGTAACCTCTTCATTTATGCCAGGACCTGTCAACACCTGTGTCTACGCTGACTGCATCTTTGTAGCCTGAAACAATTTGCAAGGATGGAGCGCTGTTGATGGAAATTCTTGCCCTGGGAGATGAAGGTTGGGACTGAAGCTAGAGTAGATGTAGCTCCACTCACTGAACTATCTCAATCCATTTTTTGTTACTTCAGTATTTTTCTCCTTTCTATTCTGATCCTGTTAACTAGAAGACATACCTACTTTTAACTGGATTGCTGGAGAAAAAAAACATAAAATGTGATTTCTTCTCTATCCCCACTCAGTCACCCTAGAACTGCCCATTGCCTGCCTTTTCTTCATGTGCTTATTTTTTGTTTGTTTTGTTTGGGGTTTTGTTTTTTTTTTTTTTAAGACAAAGACAAAGTAACTGTATTCTTTTAGAACAAAAATGAACAGCCGTGTGGAATTTTTGCATAGTACTCTTCTTCGGCAAAAAGCCACAGAACTTTTTTTTAAATGGTTTCCAAGGATGAAAGTGACTTTGCCAAGCAAAGAAGCTTCAAAACAGGACTCAAAAACACTAATAGAAAGACAGATGGTTCTACTAAGAGCTTTGCTGCCAAAAAAAATGTTAAAAAAAAGTGAAAAAAATGGAGTGATGTTATTGAAGCTGACTGCAAAGTTCTCTGATGACTGCAAATACTCTTGTCCCACTGCAAGTGTTAACTCTGCCTCCAGGGCTAATATAACTAAAGCACCACACACACACAAATTGTCATTGCCAAGCCCACAATGTAGCACAAGTCTGCGCTTGATTCCAAGTGACTGCCAAATACACGAGCAAAACACCACACTGAAAAATTCCCATTTAGGAAAACATTTACCAGCAAAATGCCCTTTCTTCTTAAATCTGACTGCTGCATTTCATTTTTTCAGATCGCTGCTCCTCTTTATCTCTCCAAGGGGCCTTATACCCACTAATTTCAAATGACACAACCCCGGTTGCGTTAAGGAGGTAAGAACTATAGAGTGATGAGGATGGTTTGCATGGATACAGAAATAACGCAGTCAAAACAATGTGATTTTCATTCCAGGATGGAACGTATGTAGCACCACTCAAACAGCTACACTTAATTTTCTCCCAAATACAAATAAGTGCAAACATTAGTTTATTTTAATCCGATTACCTGACACAATACAATACAAATTACGGACTCTTCATTTTTATGGCTCATTTAACTACTACATCTTAACTTTTGTTATGTTTATTATTATTACCTAGAATTGCTAGGATACAACTGTTTCAAGTGGCACATAATACAGGCCCTCCTTCTGAGTTTTACACGAAGGGTATTTTCCTCTTTTTTTTTTTTTAAAGCTATTACTACGTCAGTTACATCTCTCACAAATGTTTTTTGTTATAAAGTTTACATAATTTCCAATGTTTTCTCGATGGTAACTTCTTGATACCGCATTTCTAATTTGAATGGACTGCAAATCAGAGCTATTTTTCAGGCCTTTCAATTTGTTCTGCTAATGGACATATATATGTCCATAAAAAGAAAGACATCTTTAACAATCTAAAACTGCATATAGCTGTCAAGATTCTCCACTTGCCAATCTCTCTACATGCTTACTTCTTCTTAGTTGTAATTACCTAAAGGTAAAAATTGTAGTTTAAATCCTCACAAAATTCCCAATGGATTTAATGGGCTACAGTTTCACCCTGTAACTTCTTATCTACTTTAGGATATTAGTCTGGATGATACCGATACAATCTTCCAAGGGCCTGTTTTTTCACTACACATAGCATTGCCATGATGTCAATTGATCACAAAGTTTCCTGATCTTTCTTTTAATTTGAATGCCGTCACCACAGATCAGATTAACCAGAAGTACTCTTGTACTGCATGACAAACTGTGGAGGCATGGTGTGCGCAGAAAAGGCATATGACATATATAAAATAACAAAGAAACGAATCGAATGTCATGAGAGCCATAATATTCTATACAATCAATTGACTAGTCAAGGAATTAATACTTTCACATATCTCTGACAAATAATTTGGGGCAAGAGGGAAGTTCATGATGCAATGAAGGAAGTAAAACCATACCATTTGACATTTAGTTTATGAGAAATACTCCCCTTAAGGAAGTAGATATACAACAGTTCAAACAGGCCAAGAAAATAAAGGTTCTCTAATTCATAATGAGGACAGCAAGTCATCTTCTGTAACGGCAAAGGACATACTTAAGTCAATTATGTCAACGGCTCCTAAAAATTTTAGAAGCGGAAGAAATTGCAACCAAGTTTCACCTAGAGCCCAAACCAGAATCAGGGACCCTTCATACCTGTCACTGAAAATCCAAGAAGGAGACTAGCCCTAAAGAACATATCAATTAAAAAAACAGTGTGAGCACATGACAAGCAACTAATAGTACATCTACTGTCCAAGTGGGAAACTGAGGCATCCAGAGTTGCCCGTAGAGATTTCCAATTTTGGGAAGTGCCTCACTGTCTCTTTATTTGTTTCAGTGCCTTTGAAAAATCTGCCCTTAAATGACTTATCCTTATCAAAAGAAATTTGTTAGTAAACTTGGAACTGATTCAAGTTGTTGAAGCCTGGGCCAGCATCATCACAAATCTGTGCATGTCCTTTATGACTTGACTATAACAAACCCAACTGCACAAAGACGTGCATTCAGTGTAGCCACAGCTAGATTCCCAGCATTCCTAGCTTCATTATAATTGTAGTATTTCCGCCTAAATTTTGGTCTCCTACCTACTTTTAGGAACATACTATGGTTACCACAGCTACCTAAGCACTAAGCAGTATGTTTTTAACAGTTACCCCTACTGTTTGTTACTAGCTCCTGCTGCGACTTACATAAATTTAGATTGTAAATACTTGACAACTACAGTTCTACTCTATTTTCTGTGAAATGTCACGTGCGCTTTGGGTCATTATATAAATAGTGACAAAGACAAAATAGTTCAAGGAACTATTAAGGTTGCAAAGCGAGGCATTCAAGGCTTAGGAAATGCCAGAATCAGGATAGCATGCCTGACCTTATTTTAGTCCTTTATGCCCATGCATCCTGAAAAAGTCTTTAATTAAAAAGTTCACAATTTTCCCCCTCACATGACTCTTGCTTAATCTAGCAGGCTTATAATATTTCTCAAGTAACATAAACCCATACTTTCAACAAATCTAAGCCTCTAACATAGCAGCTGCTATTAGTTTTCTTTATTTTATCTTCATACACTTCCACCAATTTCATTTTTGTGGTTTTTCTTTACATGTTTATTAGCATAAACTTTTATATAAGTTTTCCTCTCTCCAAGGTAAATATTTCAATACATTTCCCAGCATCCATATATAACACTTTCCACTGAGGGGCGAATACTCATCTTCCACTCACCTCTAGTTCTTCAGAAGCAATTCTATCCATTTCGGTGAGACTGGTGATGGAGTAACAAATAAGTGTGAATAAGAACGGCTGCTAAAAGCAACACTCCCTTCTCTACAAACTGACAAAACTCTGAGCAGTACTTTACTCGAGCTGTTTAGAAGATGCCCTTCAAGAGCTGTATGAGCACCTTTGCTGAAATGATCTCTTACACGGCTTCTTCGTGTAGAAGTAAATAAAATAATTTTTATTTTCATTTGAGTTATTCTGAGCCGCCTCAAAGAAGTTCAGCTTTTAATTCCTAGAACGGTGGATGTGCATGAATGATTCTTTTAACTTCAAACTGTTGTATGAATATGTTCTTGCCTG